TTATCATTACATTATGCATATGATACACAATGAAAGAACAGAGTAAGAGAAAAAGAATCATTCACCCCCTTGTGGGTGAGATAGTGGAATCACAACCCTCGGGGAAAGATCCTTTAGTTGCCAAACACTCGGCAAAGCCTCGTGTTTGGCAACTTAAGAATCCTTCCCCTCGGGTTGAGATTCTCCTATCTCACCCCCAAGGGGATGAAAGATTCTATTATTCTCTTACCCTGGACAGGTGTATCCGCATTTTTACCGGTGTGAGATTTCCTTGTCTCACCCTAGGGTTAAGACGGGGGGATTCCCCTATTCCTAACAATGGCATGACGTCACTTTAACAAAACAATGACGTCACGTCAACAAACCATCAACGTCACGTTTAGCATGTAACATTATCATTACATTATGCATATGATGCACAATGAAAGAACAGAGTAAGAGAAAAAGAATCATTCACCCCCTTGTGGGTGAGATAGTGGAATCTCAACCCTCGGGGAAAGATCCTTTAGTTGCCAAACACTCGGCAAAGCCTCGTGTTTGGCAACTTAAGAATCCTTCCCCTCGGGTTGAGATTCTCCTATCTCACCCCCAAGGGGATGAAAGATTCTATTATTCTCTTACCCTGGACAGGTGTATCCGCATTTTTACCGGTGTGAGATTTCCTTGTCTCACCCTAGGGTTAAGACGGGGGGATTCCCCTATTCCTAACAATGGCATGACGTCACTTTAACAAAACAATGACGTCACGTCAACAAACCATCAACGTCACGTTTAGCATGTAACATTATCATTACATTATGCATATGATGCACAATGAAAGAACAGAGTAAGAGAAAAAGAATCATTCACCCCCTTGTGGGTCAGATAGTGGAATCTCAACCCTCGGGGAAAGATCCTTTAGTTGCCAAACACTCGGCAAAGCCTCGTGTTTGGCAACTGAAATAATAGGATGGGAGAAAAACAATCATCCCCTACCACCCCCAAGGGTGTAAAAGATTCTATTAATCTCACCCCCAAGGGGGTGAAAGATTCTATTAGTAACCCCCTATGGGGAGATAGCCTCGTGCCGATTAGCACGTGATCAATTGTGACGTCATTAAAATGCGGCATCGGTAATTGTGACGTCATCAAAAGTGAATGACGATATGCCTACCCCATATGTGTTTTGTTTACAAACATGGCAGACTTCTGTCGGTGGAGCTGTGACTGAAATAATAGGATGGGAGAAAAACAATCATCCCCTACCTTGAGGGTTTAACAGAGAAATATCCAACCCTAGGGTTGGAGATTTCTCTGTCACACCCTCAAGGTAGGGGAATATTCTATTAGTCACCCCTAGGGGGAGATAGTCTCGTGCCAATAAGCACGTGTTCAATTATGACGTCATTAAATTGTGTCACCGGTCATTGTGACGTTATTAAATGTGAATGACGATATTCATACCCACATGTGTTTTGTTTACAAACATGGCAAACAACTGTCGGTGGAGTTGTGACTGAATAATAGGATGGGAGAAAACTAATCATCCCCTACACTGAGGGTGTAACAGAGAAATCTCCAACCCTCGTGGTATTATTTTTTAAAACATCACCCCTCGGTAGGAGATTTCTCTGTCACACCCTCAGTAGGAGAAGCTTCTATTAGTCAATGACCATGTGACCACGATCAAACTTTATGTAGCTGTGACCTAGTAGTCTGAAGTCGTGACTTCACGTGACGGTGACAACCTAACCTTAAATTAAGACCACATGATGTATAATAGATAGTACATGTAGAATCGGTGCCTCCCTGAAGTCCCGGTTTAGAATGTAAACGATCTGTTCATAAACTGACATAACCGAAAAAAACATTGAAAAAACATTTGAAATAAGCGAAACTGGTATGAATCTAGTATGGATATAGAGCCGAGAGGTCATATTTAGATAGTCAATACCCCAGGGTTTTACATCCCACATTGCAACTCAATATCGTCAATATTTCTTCAGAAACAATTTACTTTGATGACACCATAACACGTATAATCAAAACAAGTGTTCTGATATAACATGGAGGCACGTCCTTAAATTACCTTAGCTGTTAATAGGACGTTAAACAAAATTAAACCAAATCAAACCTGATATAACGGTAGCAATGTTTTTCTTCTGTTTCATTGACACGTGACATCATAACGTGTGATGTGATCTGTATATATTTCTGTTTTAGTGACATGTGTCGTCATTACAAGTGTCTTGATCTTATGGTGTTAAATTCTGTTGCAGTATTGTCGAGGGAACATAAGGTGAACAGTTTACACGATGATAATTACTGGATGACGTTTACAACAAAGTTTGGTGACGACTAGCACAGAATGCCGCGTGTAACTTGGGAGGATATGGCACCACTTGCCCCAATACCGGACAGAACCGTCCGGAGACGGGAACACCCTCCGCCCACCAGAGAGGCCGAGTACAAGGCCATCATTGTCAAAGTGAACGACATCTGTCTCCAGATACGTAAATTCGCCAAGAAGTACCTGGACCGCAAGGCGGTGGACTATGTTGAGTGTGATAAGTGCCTTTCGGAACTCCTCCGTTCTTGGGAAATGGATGCATCTGACTTTAAAACGTGGAAGGAATTCCTAGAAAAGTTAAAATTTAGAGAAATCAGGCAAGAAGTGAGGGAATCTGAAAGTTGTAAAGATTTGCTATATATATGTGACAGAGCGAAAGCGTTTGAACTAGCTATTCCAGGAATACGAGAAAAGCTGGTCAAATGTACCAGAGAACACCTGCAGAAATACTGCAAAAGTTTTATAGAGGAAATGGGTGGTCTCGATATCCGACCCGTGTTTGATTACGATGAGGCTCTGAAGGGCTACAAGGCGGACATCGAGGGTAAGATTGATCAGATCAACACTAATATCCTGACTTACGGAGAACTAAAAACACCTTTTGACAAGTTTGTAAATGAAGGCAGCGTCCACAGTAGCCTCATGGAGGAAGTGTGCGTGGCGGTAGTGGAAGTATCCCACGCAGTGAAGAAGTGGGTGAGTGAGGACGCGACATACCCCGACAGACTACTCCAGGAGATCTTTTTCAACAACTCGTACAAGGAAAATCTGGAGGAGGACATCCTCAGGCTCAACGCTAAACACAGAGACGCAGAGCGCAGTCTTGAGCGGAAACACAAGACATTCACCCACCTACATAGACAACATCTCAGTCACAAGAAAGAAAAGAAGAAATTAAAGTCTAGTTTGGAAACTGTGACTAATAAGATAGAGAAACTAGAGCGACAGGAGCGACAGAGACAGGAGGAGATATCAGGGTTACACTCCACACTAAGGGACAAAACACCGCGGTCTCATCGAGACAAGGAAGAACTCGGCCTCAAGCTGGGCCGAACGGAAGAAAACCTGGAGAGAGTTCACGAGTGGAAATCAGTCAGCGAGCGCCAACAGGCCCGGCTAGAGCGCGAGCTAAAGCAAGTGTCCGACCGCACGTACGAGCTGAAGGTGGAGGCCGTCACGGTCCGCCACGAGGAGGATGAGATGAAGAACTCCCTTCTCGGGATAGAGATCGAGGTTAAGTCAATCAAGGACAGGATCACTAGCATTGAGGAAAAGAACGTGGTCCTGAAGAAGATCCGGGTACTTAAACTCTCCCCCGACACACTCAGAATGATCCACAAACGTCGGATACAGGCCAACGGTCGGGGTAAGTCTGCTTAACTAATTTGGTATAATATGGATATGACATTGGTTGATGATAGGGGAATCTTTCCTCATCGTCAACATCGTTTTCAGTGATTATTAAATTTATTTCCACAAATTATTTGGTTACAACACAATATGACGCCTCAGATTATTGGCATCCTACTGAACCAGTGGACAGTATTTCCATGTTTTGTTATATAGACACGAACGATGAAGGCAGTCCGAGTACGGAGGTAGAGGCCAATAGTGTCGCTGGTAACACCAACGGTAAACTAGTGTGATCCCTGATCTATAAGTGACCCCATCTTTGTTGTGTCCCAAAAAGACCTTCTTGGAAGTGGAACTGGTATATAATCCCTTACCCGCGAGTTATCTTATCAAAATCTTGTCCAGAATTACTACAATAGCAAATTGAATTCCTATTGAATGACATCCTCCATGTTTTGTTCTTTGAACTCCGACCCCCGAATGATATTCCTTATTCCACTGATCCTTCCCTGATGTGTTCTCTGGCGTGTTGCCTGACGTCAGACATCCTTCCATGTCGTATTCCCTGATCCCTGACTTACATCCTTCCCGCTCCTGTTCCCTGACGTCAGACATCCTTTCATGTCGTATTCCCTGATCCCTGACTTACATCCTTCCCGCTCCTGTTCCCTGACGTCAGACATCCTTTCATGTCGTATTCCCTGATCCCTGACTTACATCCTTCCCTCGCCTGTACCCTGACGTCAGACATCCTTCCATGTCCTATTCCCTGATCCCTGACTTACATCCTTCCCTCTCCTGTCCCCTGACGTCAGACATCCTTTCATGTCGTATTCCCTGATCCCTGACTTACATCCTTCCCGCTCCTGTTCCCTGACGTCAGACATCCTTTCATGTCGTATTCCCTGATCCCTGACTTACATCCTTCCCGCTCCTGTTCCCTGACGTCAGACATCCTTTCATGTCGTATTCCCTGATCCCTGACTTACATCCTTCCCGCTCCTGTTCCCTGACGTCAGACATCCTTTCATGTCGTATTCCCTGATCCCTGACTTACATCCTTCCCGCTCCTGTTCCCTGACGTCAGACATCCTTTCATGTCGTATTCCCTGATCCCTGACTTACATCCTTCCCTCTCCTGTACCCTGACGTCAGACATCCTTCCCTCTCCTGTACCCTGACGTCCGGCCATTGAATGGTTTCTCTTTCGCGTTCCTCTGTTTCCTGATTCCTGAATAAAATCCCTCATTTTAGTGTATCTTGACATTTGATCCTAGAATGACACCCCACCATGATTTTTTTCGTTGACCACTGACTCTTTAATTACATCCCTCACTGTCGTGAACCTTGACCCCAGACTCCTGAATGTCATCTTTTATTGTCATGTTCCTTTGGCACCTGACCCTTGAGTAGCATCCCTCCCGAGTACCATGTCTTGTGACCATGAGTAGCATCCCTCCCGAGTACCATGTCTTCTGACCATGAGTAGCATCACTCCCGAGTACCATGTCTTCTGACCATGAGTAGCATCCCTCCCGAGTACCATGTCTTCTGACCATGAGTAGCATCCCTCCCGAGTACCATGTCTTCTGACCATGAGTAGCATCCCTCCCGAGTACCATGTCTTCTGACCATGACTAACATCCCACCATATCTTGACCCCTTTGACCCCTGACACTTGAACGACCGACATCACTCCCTGTCGTGATCCTTCTTCACCTCTTACCGAATTGACCTCTCATCCTTATCGTACCATTACACAAATTATATTTATTCTTTGACAAACGTTTTAAAGATGTCATTGTTCCATCTAAACCATATCATACTTATATTGAAACTTGCACCATGTTATACATTAACTAGAGCACCACGTGTAATATCTTACCTCTGTAGCTACTCTCCTGTGTGGGTCTGGCTAACCTGTTATGTCAACCTGGAGACAAGACATAATAACCACCTGTAGTTGTCACGATACAATATCCGGGTCTTTACTGCTAGCATATATTGTGTTTTAGAAGCCAGTGAAGCTAGCAGCCATGAAAGAGAGCCCCCGGTCGATAGTGGTCCGGGTAACACCGACGGTAAAACATTACCCGTCTGCGTCTTTGGTGTGCTTGTTTACAGTTATCCGTGTCTGAAGCGTGCTTGTTTACAACACCCGTCTGTGTCTTTAGTGTGTTTGTTTACAGTTATCTGTGTATGTATCGTGCTTGTTTACAACACCCGTCTGTGTCTTTAGTGTGTTTGTTTACAGTTAGTTATCTGTGTCTGTAGTGTGCTTGATTACACCCGTCTGTGTCTTTAGTGTGTTTGTTTACAGTTATCTGTGTCTGTAGTGCGCTTGATTACACCCGTCTGTGTCTGTTGGGTATTTTTACATCCGGCTGTGTGCATGGTTACGTTGTTTGACGACCAATTTGAACCAGTATTCAGTGAAACGTTTTTAGTTGCCCCTGTTACACGAGTTGTCGTTATTAACCCAGTGTAGTAAGTCTGTGTTGTGTTATACGAGTTGTTGTTATTAACCCAGTGAAGTAAGTCTCTGTTGTGTTGCACGAATTGTCGTTATTAACCCAGTGTAGTAAGTCTGTGTTGTGTTTCACGAGTTGTCGTTATTAACCCAGTGTAGTAAGACTGTGTTGTGTTACACGAGTTGTCGTTATTAACCCAGTGTAGTAAGTCTCTGTTGTGTTACACGAGTTGTTGTTATTAACCCAGTGAAGTAAGTCTCTGTTGTGTTACACGAATTGTCGTTATTAACCCAGTGTAGTAAGTCTCTGTTGTGTTACACGAGTTGTTGTTATTAACCCAGTGTAGTAAGACTGTGTTGTGTTACACGAGTTGTCGTTATTAATTCAGTGTAATAAGTCTGTGTTGTGTTACACGAGTTGTTGTTATTAACCCAGTGTAGTAAGTCTGTGTTGTGTTACACGAGTTGTTGTTATTAACCCAGTGTAGTAAGTCTGTGTTGTGTTACACGAGTTGTTGTTATTAACCCAGTGTAGTAAGTCTGTGTTGTGTTACACGAGTTGTTGTTATTAACCCAGTGTAGTAAGTCTGTGTTGTGTTACACGAGTTGTTGTTATTAACCCAGTGTAGTAAGTCTGTGTTGTGTTACACGAGTTGTTGTTATTAACCCAGTGTAGTAAGTCTGTGTTGTGTTACACGAGTTGTTGTTATTAACCCAGTGTAGTAAGTCTGTGTTGTGTTACACGAGTTGTTGTTATTAACCCAGTGTAGTAAGTCTGTGTTGTGTTACACGAGTTGTTGTTATTAACCCAGTGTAGTAAGTCTGTGTTGTGTTACACGAGTTGTTGTTATTAACCCAGTGTAGTAAGTCTGTGTTGTGTTACACGAGTTGTTGTTATTAACCCAGTGTAGTAAGTCTGTGTTGTGTTACACGAGTTGTTGTTATTAACCCAGTGTAGTAAGTCTGTGTTGTGTTACACGAGTTGTCGTTATTAACCCAGTGTAATAATTATGTGTTGTGTTACACGAGTTGTTGTTATTAACCCAGTGAAGTAAGTCTGTGTTGTGTTACACGAGTTGTTGTTATTAACCCAGTGAAGTAAGTCTGTGTTGTGTTACACGAGTTGTCGTTATTACCCCAGTGTAGTAAGTCTGTGTTGTGTTACACGAGTTGTTGTTATTAACCCAGTGAAGTAAGTCTGTGTTGTGTTACACGAGTTGTTGTTATTAACCCAGTGCAGTAAGTCTGTGTTGTGTTACACGAGTTGTCGTTATTAACCCAGTGAAGTAAGTCTGTGTTGTGTTACACGAGTTGTTGTTATCAACAAGTTTGAAAACTATCATCTTTTTCTCTTTGACAGGTGTCACAACCAACGTTGACAGTTACGCTTCGACATTTTTGACAAATAACACAACATTCTCTTTTTGATATGTCAGAAATATAGGTCTAGAACTGTATTGACAGGACCTCTGCTGCACATTGCCTAAGTAATCATTGCCAGGCGGAATAACGCCATTGATTATAATTGTCAACATAAACCTATTATATTGTGTTTATATATACACGACCCTCATATTTCAAGTCCTACTTCATTTATGTCGTCCCTCAGAACGATCTCTACAGCTACATGTCCTGTTGGTGAGCCGACAGGCAGAGCGTTATTTACTCGAACTACTGATATGCTTTCATAAGTAATACCTTTAAATGGTGGTCAGCTGGTGATACGCCTTTCTTACAGTAATACCTTTAAATTGCGGTCTGTTGGTGATACTTTTATTTGACTTGCCTTACGTTTAGTCGAGATAAGATAAATGTGGTGAACGTTGTTCACAGAGAATGGTATACATACCGGTGTTCTGATATTTGATATGCTATATCTTACAACACCCACTGCTATCACTTAGCCTGTTTTGTTGCCTTTCATTCCTTTAGCATGGTATAGAATGTTTCAAAATAAGGCTGTTTTTACATACCGTAACTGTTCCTAACTGTCTGTGCTCATTTACAACAAATTTGTATGCAGCACTAATTTGTCTAACATATTCAAATGATAATGTCAACAGCCAACGGTACCTGAACGTAAGGGACGGTAACGTATGATGACATGACGTACTCGATGACGACTGATAATATCGGACTGGCAAACGATGCATTTGTAAATAACGAATGATGTCTCGCTTGCGTTGAGTAATTTGAATCCGGTGATATATGCATGTAATTATTTGCTGGTCCCGCGCGCGACGTTATGCATTTGTGACGTCATATTGAAGGATTAGAAATTATTCAATATTTCTATGGTCATGTGATAACAATATTTTTAATTCTCTTCAATTTGATAAGAAACTTATGAAAGTCGCCCTGAATTTTCCTTTCTGGCTCTGAAAAGTCTTCTTGAAGCAATAACATCTTGACTCGGATGTAAAACCTAAGATCTCCTTTAAGATCATAAATATACGTGTGATATTTGACGAGATGTTGTTTTCCTTTCCACAGGTGCGCTGGAAGACGCCTGCAGGTTTGTGGCTCAGTTTATCGGCAAGGATTGGAAAAGGCTGTACGACAGACTCCCGTTCGCACCAGCTCGTGATACGGACAAGCGTCAAAAGGACGTGTTTGTGATCGACCAAATCTCGGCTCGACGAGACCGCACACCGGAGGAGACTGCTGTCACGTGTTTGGAGAAGTGGCGCAATTTCAATAGGCATGGTGACATAGCACAGTTAATCAAAGGCCTAAGGACGCTAAATAAGGTGGAACTCGCGGAAAAAGTGGAAACGAAGTATATGGTTACGAATGTGTACAGCTGAATTTTGTTGATTAAGGAAGCCAGGACAACGACACTGTTATCAAGATTTTATACTGTGACCAGAAGGTAACCGCTCTTTAATTACACTGTGATCAGGAGGTACCCGTTCTATAATTACACGGTGATCAGGAGGTAACCGTTCTATAATTACACTGTGATCAGTAGGTACCCGTTCTATAATGACACTGTGATCAGGAGGTAACTGTTCTATAATTATATACTGTGATCAGGAGGTAGCCGTTATATACTTACGCTGTGATCAGGGGGTAACCGTTCTATAATGACACTGTGATCAGGAGGTAACTGTTCTATAATTATATACTGTGATCAGGAGGTAGCCGTTATATACTTACACTGTGATCAGGGGGTAACCGTTCTATAATGACACTGTGATCAGGAGGTAACTGTTCTATAATTATATACTGTGATCAGGAGGTAGCCGTTATATACTTACACTGTGATCAGGGGGTAACCGTTCTATAATTTTACACTGTGACTAGAAGGTAACCGGTCTTTAATTACACTGTGATCAGGAGGTAACCGTTCTGTAATTACACTGTGATCAGGAGGTAACCGTTCTGTACTTACACTGTGATCAGGAGGTAACCGTTCTATAATTACATTGTGATCAGTAGGTTACCGTTATATAATTACACTGTGATCAGGAGGTAACCTTTCTATAATTACACTGTGATCAAGAGGTAACCGTTCTATAACTACACTGTGATCAGGAGGTAACCTTTCTATAATTATGCACTGTGATCAGGAGGTAACCGTTATAAACTTACACTGTGATCATGAGGTAACCGTCATATACTCACACTGTGATCAGGGAGTAACCGTTCTATAATTACACTGTGATCATGAGGTAACCGTCATATACTTTCACTGTGATCAGGGGGTAACCGTTCTATAATTTTACACTGTGACCAGAAGGTAACCGGTCTTTAATTACACTGTGATCAGGAGGTAACCGTTCTATAACTACACTTTTATCAGGAGGTTACCGTTCTATAATTACACTGTGGTCAGGAGGTAACAGTTATATACTTACACTGTGATCAGGAGGTAAACGTTCTATAATTATGCACTGTGATCAGGAGGTCACCGTTATAAACTCACACTGTGATCATGAGGTAACCGTCATATACTCACACTGTGATCAGGGAGTAACCGTTCTATAATTACACTGTGATCATGAGGTAACCGTCATATACTCACACTGTGATCAGGGAGTAACCGTTCTATAATTACACTGTGATCAGGAGGTAACCGTTATATCACTACACTGTGATCAGGAGGTAACCGTTATATACTTACACTGTGGTCAGGAGGTAACCGTTCTGTACTTACACTGTGATCAGGAGGTAACCGTTCTATAACTACATTGTGATCAGGAGGTAACCGTTCTATAACTTCACTGTGATCAGGAGGTAACCGTTTTATAATTACACTGTGATAAGCAGGTAACCGTTCTATAACTACATTGTGATCAGGAGGTTAACGTTCTATAATTACACTGTGGTCAGGAGGTAACCATTATATACTTACACTGTGATCAGGGGGTAACCGTTGTGTAATTACACTGTGATCAGGAGGTAACCGTTCTGTAATTACACTGTGATCAGGAGGTAACCGTTTTATAATTACAACTAACACTGTGATCAGGGGGTAAACGTTCTATAATTACACTGTGATCAGGAGGTTCCCGTTCTATAATTACACGATGATCAGGAGGTAACCGTTCTATAACTACACTTTTATCAGGAGGTTACCGTTCTATAATTACACTGTGGTCAGGAGGTAAACGTTCTATAACTACACTTTTATCAGGAGGTTACCGTTCTATAATTACACTGTGGTCAGGAGGTAACAGTTATATACTTACACTGTGATCAGGAGGTAAACGTTCTATAATTATGCACTGTGATCAGGAGGTTTACGTTTATAATTACACTGTGATCAGGAGGTAACCGTTCTGTACTTACACTGTGATCAGGAGGTAACCGTTCTGTAATTACACTGTGATCAGGAGGTAACCGTTCTATAACTTCACTGTGATCAGGAGGTTACCGTTTTATAATTACACTGTGATCAGGATGTAACCGTTCTATCATTACACTGTGATCAGGAGGTTACCGTTTTATAATTACGCTGTGATCAGGAGGTAACCGTTCTATAATTACATTGTGATCAGTAGGTTACCGTTCTATAATTACACTGTGATCAGGAGGTAACCGTTCTATAATTACACTGTGATCAGGAGGTAACCTTTCTATAATTACACTGTGATCAAGAGGTAACCGTTCTATAACTACACTGTGATCAGGAGGTAACCGTTCTATAATTACACTGTGATCAGGAGGTAACCGTTCTATAATTACACTGTGATCAGGAGGTAACCGTTCTATAATTACACTGTGATCAGGAGGTAACCGTTCTATAATTACACTGTGATCAGGAGGTAACCGTTCTATAATTACACTGTGATCAGGAGGTAACCGTTCTATAATTACACTGTGATCAGGAGGTAACCGTTTTATAACTACACTGTGATCAGGGGGTAGCCTTTCTATAACTACCCTGTGATCAGGAGGTAACCTTTCTTTAATTATGCACTGTGATCAGGAGGTTACCGTTTTATAACTATACACTGTGATCAGGCGGTAACTGTTCTGTAATATAACAAACAGCCAGATAGGTGTCGTAGAACCTGTGAGACCGGTACATGTATATAACAAACAACCAGATATGTGTCGTAATACCTGTGGGACCGGTATATAACAAACAACCAGATATGTGTCGTAATACCTGTGGGACCGGTATATAACAAACAGCCAGATTGGTGTCGTAGTACCTGTGGGACCGGAATATAACAAACAGCCAGATAGGTGTCGTAGTACCTGTGGGACCGGAATATAACAAACTACCAGATAGGTGTCGTAATACCTGTGGGACCGGTACATAACAAACAACCGGATTGGTATCGTAGTACCTGTGGGACCGGTATATAACAAGCTACCGGATAGGTGTCGTAATACCTGTGGGACCGGTATATAACAAACAGCCAGATAGGTGTCGTAGTACCTGTGGGACCGGTATATAACAAACAGCCAGATTGGTGTCGTAGTACCTGTGGGACCGGTATATAACAAACTACCAGATAGGTGTCGTAGTACCTGTGGGACCGGTACATAACAAACAACCAGATTGGTATCGTAGTACCTGTGGGACCGGTATATAACAAACAACCAGATATGTGTCGTAGTACCTGTGAAGGACAACATTACAATCTGCTCGATTTGGGGCTGCAGCAAGTCTACCGTCCAATTAACGCCTGGACATCGTGGAACAAAATCACTGCCACTAGTCTAATGTCTTAACCACACAGAATCGACAAAGTGTAAACCTATATATCATTTTTTTCTGTTGTTTTTGTTCTCGCTTTTAAAAAGAAAAAAATGGAAATTTCCGGTCGGATTAGAACTAGTTATCAAAACAAAGAATTATGGGAATTCATAGAATAGCAGGATTTTATCAATGTAGAATATTCAAGAATTTACTTCACTATATATAGAAGCTTGATTAATGTAAAAATGATTTCAGAGTGCTTGGACGAATATAGCTGGTGACGTCATGTGATGTACGTAAAGTGGATGTACACTCAGACAAATAGGCCCGATGACGTCATGTGTCGTACATAAGGCAAGATGTACGCTTGTACGCTCGGGCGAGTGGATTCAGTGACGCCTCGTGTCGCACTTAAAGAAGAAAACTATGTCTTATGTAATACACAAGGTGAAATGTAAGTTTGGAAGTGTGGACTTAATGACGTCATGTGTAATATATCAAGCCTAGTGACGTCACGTAATTGTTTAAATGGTGCTAACAGAGAGAACATTATCTAAACGTGTGAGAAAGAAGACTTTGTTTAAAGGCATGTCAGTATTTATTAGACTGGAATGTGGATTTAAATTATTAATTTATATATGTATTCACATGACTAGTAATTTGATATCAGTTTATATGTGATTAAATGAATATATTTAGAACAGTAAATCAAACGCTGCTGAATTATTGAGGTAATTAAATAAACGTATAGCTCACTTTTGTCTTGAATTCCGTCTCTATTACATAAACACTTCAATTCTGACGAGCAAAGTCATTATCATGTGATTTACAAGTTTTTTTATCACTAAGATATTGCCTATGGTGTCGCAGTATGCTGTGAACAGGCGAAGCATTTGGGTATCTTCGCGATTTTCCACGATGTTTTAGACATAACTTTGTTTAGATTGCGCCTTGCTGGATTATCTTTTTCATGGCGCAACTCCCCGTCTCAGACTGACTGGTTACCTCCCTGTTTCGGAGACGATTGACCCCCCCCCCCCCCCCCCCCCCCCCCCGCCAAACAAAANCCGTCCTCGTTACCGAACAGTAAACTTTCGTTAATACACCTCGTGTTTAGAAACAGACATTTAGACTGGTATAAATAAACTAATGAGGTAATATAACGACAGTTCAAAGCTTCTCCACAATGAGCGTAGGACAACGGGATAGTTCTGTGTGTAATTAGATGGCAATACACCACGTACATAGTCCCAGGGGTGTAAAGGAGACATAGACACACCGTCCTAAACACATGCAGACCCATATAATAACTCTAATTAACTCTAACTTCATTATCGCCGTTCTAATGTTGAATCGCTTTCTTTTTCTGGTCAACTTTACCGTAATAATTCAACTTGAGACTTTATCAATCACGTACGATCATATTCACAAGGACTGATGTCTACGTCATCACCGACCGGTTAGTGAACCTAACTAGGATCCTATACGGTAGGAGATTTAGGTTATAGGTCAAGTGTGTTAGGTTATAGACTGGTCAGTTCCTAGAGCTGGATAGCGTCCACCTGCCAGTCGGACTGTTTATATACAGGTATCCGAATTAAGGTTAGGTCAAAGATATTTACACCTGTAATTAGGTTAAACACTTTTACATGGAACCACGACATGTATAAGGCCACCGAAAATTGATCTGTAATGATAAAACTACATTAGAGCAGGTTGATTGAAATGTGTCCATGTCGAACATACCACCAGAACATATCCCTACAAGTACCGCCACCATAACATATCCCTACAAGTACTACCACTATAACATATCACCACAAGTACAACCACCATAACATATCCCCACAAGTACCAACACCATAACATATCCCCACAAGTACTACCACCATAACATATCACGAAAAGTACTACCGCCATAACATATCACCACAAGTACCACCACTATAACATATCCCTATAAGTACCACCACCATAACATATCCCTACAAGTACTACCACCATAACATATCACCACAAGTACCACCACCATAACATATCCCCACAAGTACCACCACCATAACATATCACCACAAGTACTACCACTATAACATATCACCACAAGTACAACCACCATAACATATCCCCACAAGTACTACCACTATAACATATCCCCACAAGTACAACCACCATAACATATCTCACCACAAGTACCACCACCATAACATATCCCCACAAGTACCACCACCATAACATATCCCTACAAGTACCACCACCATAACATATCCCTACAATTACTACCACCATAACATATCACCACAAGTACCACCACCATAACATATCCCCACAAGTACTACCACCATAACATATCACCACAAGTACCACCACCATAACATATCCCCACAAGTACCACCACCATAACATATCCCTACAAGTACCACCACCATAACATATCCCTACAAGTACTACCACCATAACATATCACCACAAGTACCACCACCATAACATATCCCCACAAGTACCACCACCATAACATATCCCTACAAGTACCACCACCATAACATATCCCTACAAGTACTACCACCATAACATATCACCACAAGTACCACCACCATAACATATCCCCACAAGTACCACCACCATAACATATCCCTACAAGTACCACCACCATAACCTATCCCTACAAGTACTACCACCATAACATATCACCACAAGTACTACCACCATAACATATCACCACAAGTACCACCACCATAACATATCCCCACAAGTAACACCACCATAACATATCCCTACAAGTACTAACACCATAACATATCACCACAAGTACCAACACCATAACATATCACCACAAGTACCACCACCATAACATATCCCCACAAGTACGACCACTATAACATATCCCCACAAGTACCACCACCATAACATATACCTACAATTACTACCCCCATAACATATCACCACAAGTACTACCATCATAACATATCTCACCACAAGTACCACCACCATAACATATCACCACAAGTACTACCACCATAACATATCCCCACAAGTACCACCATTATAACATATCACCACAAGTACAACCACCATAAAATATCCCCACAAGAACTACCACCATAACATATCTCCAAAAGTACTACCACTATAACATATCCCCACAAGTACCACCACTACAACATATACCCACAAGTACTACCACCATAACATATCACCACAAGTACTACCACCATAGCATATCCCCAAAAGTACCACCACTATAACATATCCCTACAAGTAACACCACCATAACATATCACCACAAGTACCACCACCATAACATATCCCCACAAGTACCACCACTATAACATATCACCACAATAAACACCACTATAACATATCCCCAAAAGTACCACTACCATAACATATCACCACAAGTACAACCACTATAACATATCCCCAAAAGTACTACCACTATAACATATCCCTACAAGTACCACCACTATAACATATCTCCACAAATACTACCACTGTAACATATCACTACAAATACTACCACTGTAACATATCACTACAAGTACCACCACTATAACATATCCCCAAAAGTGCCACCACCATAACATATCACCAAAAGTACTACCACCATAACATATTACCACTATAACATATCACCACAAATACCACCACCATAACATATACCCACAAGTACTACCACTATAACATATCCCTACAAATAACATATCACCACAAGTACCACCACCATAACATATCCCCACAAGTACCACCACCATAACATATTACCACAAGTACTACCACTATAACATATCACCACAAATACTACCACTGTAACATATCACTACAAGTACTACCACTATAACATATCACCAAAATTACTACCACCATAACATATCACCACAAGTACCACCACCATAACATATACCCACAAGTACTACCACTATAACATATCACTACAAGTACTATCACTATAACATATCACTACAAGTACTACCACCATAACATATCACTACAAGTACTACCACCATAACATATCCCCACAAGTACTACCACCATAACATATCACCACAAGTACCACAACCATAACATATCCCCAAAAGTACTACCACCATAACATATCACTACAAGTACTTCCACTATAACATATCACCACAAGTACTACCACCATAACATATCACCACAAGTACCACCACCATAACATATTCCCACAAGTACTACCACCATAACATATCACTACAAGTACTACCACTATCACATATCCCTACAAGTACCACCACTATAACATATCACCACAAGTACAACCCCCATAACATATCACTACAAGTACTTCCACTATAACATATCACCACAATTAACACCACCATAACATATCCCTACAAGTACCACCACTATAACATATCACAACAAGTACCACCACCATAACATATCCCCAAAAGTACCACCACTATAAAATATCCCTACAAGTACCACCATTATAACTTATCCCCACAAGTAACACCACTATAACATATCCCCAAAAGTACCACCACTATAACGTATCCCCACGAGTACCACCACCATAACATATCCCCACAAGCACCACCACCATAACATATTACCACAAGTACAACCACTATAACATATCACCACAAGTACTACCACTATAACATATCACCACAAGTACCACCATAACATATCCCCACAAGTACCATCACCATAACATATCACAACAAGTACCCCCACCACAACATATCACTACAAGTACCACCACCATAACATATCCCCACAAGTACCATCACCATAACATATCACAACAAGTACCCCCACCACAACATATCACTACAAGTACCACCACCATAACATATCCCCACAAGCACCACCACCATAACATATTACCACAAGTACAACCATTATAACATATCACCACAAGTACTACCACTATAACATATCACCACAAGTACTACCACTATAACATATCCCCACAAGTACCACCACTATAACATTTCACCACAAGTACCACCACCATAACATATCCCCAAAAGTACTACCACTATAACATATCCCTACAAGTACCACCACTATAACATAGCCCCACAAGTAACACCACCATAACATATCCCCAATAACATATCTCACCACAAGTACCACCACCATAACATATCACCACAAGTACTACCACTATAACATATCACCACAAGTACCACCATAACATATCCCCACAAGTACCACCACTATAACATATCCCCACAAGTACCACCACCATAACATATCACCAAAAGTACCACCACTATAACATATAAACACAAGTACCACCACTTTAACATATCACCACAAGTACCACCACCATAACATATCAACACAAGTAGCAACACCATAACATATCCCCACACGTACTACCACTATAACATATCCCTACAAGTACCACCATCATAACATATCCCCACAAGTACCACCACCATAACATATCACCACAAGTAAAACCACCATAACATATCCCCACAGGTACTACCACCATAACATATCCCCACAAGTACCACCACCATAACGTATCCCCACGAGTACCACCACCATAACATATCCCCACAAGTACCATCACCATAAAATATCACCACAAGTACCACCACCATAACATATCACTGCAAGTACCACCACCATAACATATTCCCAAAAGTACTACCACTATAACATATCCCCACAAGTACTACCATCATAACATATACCCACAAGTACTACCACCATAACATATACCCACAAGTACTACCACTATAATATATCACCACAAGTACTACCACTATAACATATCCCCACAAGTACA